AAGCAACATTGTGGCTTGTTTAAATAAATAATTTCTTGTTAATATAAAAGATTTCAAAGCTTTATCATTTTGACACTTTTTGATTCATGGTCATTTTTCTCACTAAAGCACCTTTTTCTTTTTTTTTTTTGAGTAAACCTGCGTCAATCAGGCTGTTTCTCACCAAACCAGACTTCTGTTTTTTTTTTCAGCTCTGACCTATTAGATTTTGATTTTAATTTAATATTTTTCAACTGTGAGAGGCACAAAATGGTACAAATGTTTAAGATTGTTTGCTAGAAGTGGTAGCTCTGTATCCAACAGAATCTCAAGGAATTGCATGATTATCCCAATTTAACCATCAAAGCAGAGGTCCATAGCTCATCTTATTTTTATCAAACTCCAAAAATGTAATTATTGTTTGATGCAAGGCAAAAAGTCAGATTGACTTGCTGATCATTAATTTGAACCAATTGAGAGGAAAGGTTGTCGAATTCAATCTGAAAGTTGGTGCATCGCTAATGTTAGGGACTGGTGGGTTTAAAAAAAACCTTTATTGAGCACAGGGTTGAGATTCAGACCATTAAGATCTGCTATAGCTCTTATAGCTATCTGTTAATGAGTCAGACACCCAATACAACTTAATATGCATCAATATGCAGGGTGAAAACCATCAAAGCCAACATCTTGTCTCTTAAGTTTGTTCTTGAGGAGTACAGCCAATCAGCTGCTAGGAAAACTAATGCTGCTCCTGGATTGGTTGCTTTGCAAACCACAACTCATAATGTGTCAAGTAGCATTGCAGCAAGATATTTCTCCATTTTCTTTTAAATATTTTAGATATTTTTAATATTTTAGATTTGCTCTACAGAAAAATCTGAGACTAGGTGAGTGACTCGTCATTAAATTGATTTTGGAGTTTATTACTATTTGAAACTTCTGTACCTGGAAGCTCTACCTTTGGTGTAGTTTCTATTGCTTTTTAGGCTAAGTTCATTAATATCAATAGATTATTGGCACTTATTATTGGATCCTGTCGTTTCAGCAACCAGTTCGTCACAGCGTCTTGGTCAGACAATGATTTATTGTTCTTAATTTGATTGTGTCTGATTTCTTTTGGAGACGCCACCAGTTAATCTTTCTAATTTAATTGTATAAATCGCAAAATCATGACAAAGATCAAACTGATTTCATTGACGGCCTGAGAGTAACGCTATTCTGTGGCAGCAGAGGGGATTTTAGTCAGTTTAGTTAGCAACATTCCCCTGTCAGTAATGTCTGACCCTTACATAATCTGATTACCGGGCTCGCATCATAGCTAGTGTAGCAGACTGAGCCATCATTAATTAGAGGGAGATTGTGCATCAACCCACACCTAAAACCCCACTGAAGGTTGTTTTGGATAGATTTGGAGACAAAATCTGCATCATTTCATTTGTCAATATTTTCCAAATTTGACTTTTTCTGTTTTTATTTTCCATTCTAACCATATTTTACAACTCAGAGCTTATTTAATTATGTAATGAACTGTAGCCAGTTTCACATTTATTGTCATTAAGAGAACATTAAACATGATTAAAAAGTGTTTAAAAGCATTTCCAAAATGTTTTAATTTATTAAACTACAACTTTATCTCATCTCACATTACAAAAACATTCAGTTTTAACTTGACTCAAAGTAGTTGATATTTACATTGAATCCATATTTTGCTTTTTTGTTTCCCATTTTAAAAGTGTCTAATAACCCCAGTTTAAGGTTCAGTAGGTTTAGATTTAAATGGCTCATTCATTCATTTTTTGCTTGCAGATAAATCGAGCTGGATAAAGCTTTAATGTATTGGTGAAAACACCTCAGAGGTTTTAGTGATGAAAGTTAACAACATTACTGGAATTACATGTTTTTCTAAAACGCTGCAGCTTCACTGTGCAATTCCCAAAACTTATTGCATAATTCAACCCTGCAGAAAAGCAGATTCCCTCACCCCTCTCAAATATTAATCTAAACATGGCTTTCATTAATTAATTATTGAAAATACCTTGTTAAAAATTTATTTTCCATCTGAAAAGCTTTGCCTCTCGTCCTTTAACTATGGCACCAACGCAACCTGAGAGAAAATGGATGGGTAATCCATGTTGCTTTTTTTTTTGTTGTGCAAACAATAAGTTTGCCAACTTTAATCTATTGAAATATATAAACATATATTTTAGTGGTAGATGCTCCCCATAACGTGGAGGAATTTATTGTATCTGTGAGAATCTTGCATGACTTGATGTAATTTTTTGGGAGGTCCTTATTTTGTTCTACTCTAAATTTTTCATTATAACGCTTCTATAAAAACTAATCTTTTGGAGTCAAACTCCGAGTTTTGAATTTCTGTTTGTATGCACCACTATGTCACTGTTTTTAATTCGTAACCATCCTTTTTATTATTTATCTTTTATTAAAAATGGTCAGATCTTTTCCCCAATTCTCCGACTGACTGCAGAAGAGATTGAACCTTTCCCATTTTTCTGTATTTATAAATTATATATTTAAAAAAAAAATACAAGAGTGTTGCTTTCAGTCCTTCTATTCTGCCATCTTGTTGTTACTCTATAATTAAAGCGTGTTTTAGCAAATACAACCTACCTGACGTGATTAGTGGTTATCAAACTTAATTTGAGGGCTGCAAAAACTTTACTCAAATGCGTTGCCCTTTTCACACTTTGGTTGCAACAAATTTGACAGACTGTCACGAAACAGTGACATGGAAAGACAGAATGTTTCTTTGTGGAAGACAACTGTTTCCACTGCCTGACAGATTTTCTTCCACTTTTTCTCACTTAGTGCTACTAGCTTACCAGTCACTGCAAAAAAATAAAATAAAAGCATTTCTGCTTTATGTTTCTGCCACCGCCATGTTTCACAGTGGAGAAAGTGGCTCCTCTAATAGTATCAGTAATGGTTCTCTATCTATATCCAATTACCTTGTCATTTAATTGGAGAAACTATGTACTTGATTTTATTTATTTTCCTTTTATCTATTTTAGGCTTGAATATCTTCACTGATAGGCTAACTCCAACTTCCAACACTGCAAAAATCTTTTCCAGCAACCAATCAGATTGTTTTCTGATGCAAAAATTAAACTTTGGTGAGCGAAGTTTAAGAGTCGTTCTCTGCTGTTTTTAGGGATGATGCTTGTGCGTCAGATTTTCTGGGGTACCAGAAACGCAATACGACAGTTCCAACTAGAACTTTTGTTTGGAAAATAAAAAGAAAACAAAATGTGATTAATTGTGTTAAAAGATTTAAATTAACACTTTAGAGTCCATAACATGTTGAAGTCTGTGCATTTTTTTTCCTTCCACTTTACAGTCATGCACTAATTTGTTTGATTCATGCAAAAATAATTCAGTAATTGGCATTTTTTGTAACTACTTCTTTTCCTACAAGTTTGCTACTTTACTTCAATTTTCAATGAAATAAATCACTGTTTTTGAAAGCCTTTCTAAGAAATCCTATCAACTAAATTCACTTCATGAGGAAAAATGTGAAAAGAACCGCTCCCAGAACAGTCTCGTCTCATTCCCTCCAAATCCCTGTCAAACCTTAATAGCATTGAATGTCATAAATCAGCAGTAAGTGTGTGAGAAAGGGAGGAGGGGGAAGAGGGAGAGAAAGCATGCGATTGTGCCCCGTCTGACTGCTGCTGCTGCTGTTGCAGGGAACGTTTTGGGTCAGGTCTAGACTGGCTCTGTAATACAGTACATACCAGCAGATCAGCTGTGAGCAGATCCCAGGTTCATTTATAGCTGTGGCCTTGTGTCTCTTCACGTCTGCCTGGCAACTCCTAAATCTGCTGCTGTTAAAACCACCACCGCTCCCCCACCTCTCAGACGCTTTGGCCCTGTTACACTCCAACCATGTCTAATTACTGCACACACAGTAGCCTGAGGAATGAAACGGAGGAGATTCCTCTCTGGATCTTTTGTGCAGTTTGAGGCTGTTTTCACACCTGGTAGACTTGGTTTGATCCCAACGAAAGTTGCAACATTTGTCACATTTTCAGCTGCTGCTGTTCTTTTCCACTCTGCCAAAGTCTTTGAAAAACCGGTTCCCCTCCTCGCCTGTGGGGGAACTGCACCAAAAACCCCTGAAGGAAACGGCACAAAAGCTTCTGAAGAAGACACTTTAGCTTTCTGCTTCAGAAAATGTAAATAAATATGGAGTAGCGTCAGATTTTAGCTGTTGTAGAATTTGTCTTTATTTTTTGCAAAAGATGATGAATCATTTCTCCCACTAGCAATTGACCCCTGTGTTTGTTTTGTCTCATTATTTACCCATAATGCTCTGCACTTAAGCCTGTCGTACTAAGAAATAAATAAATTAATGGCTTGATCAACTGAAAAAAGCCCAACTTTCATTTGCATGACTGTTTTTTTTGTTGTTGTTGTTTGTTTCTGTTTGATTAGCATGATTAGTCTTTAGTCTGGTGTTTTTGTTACTTCAGTATCCATTTTATTTGTTGTTGTAGTTGTTTCAAAATGTCTTCCAGTTCCAATGTTAAATGTTTGTTAAATTGAAAGCTTGTCTTAAAGAGGGTGTACTTGAATTATTATGCCAATACTATACAGTATTTTTATTCTTTATTCTGTTCTTAAAAATTCATTTATATTGTATCTTTGCGTGCCTCTATTTGCTTTGACTTCCTTCCACTTTGCTGCTGTTGCACAGAAATTTTCCCATTGTGGGTAATTGAGAATTTTTTCTAGTTTAATACCGTTGTATTACTTGAAAATGGTCTTAAAACAACAACATTCTCACAATAACCTTTGAGAATATTTATCATCAAGCAAAATTGAACCAGAACTCACTTTTTGTGGTCTGCTTCTTATTTCGATTACGCATTCCCAAACGAATGCCCGAACTTTTGAGGCAAACGGATTAAAGTGGACTGAACAGGGTTGATGTGAATGCACCTTTATGTTGTTGCTTTGGATAGATTTGTGAGTTAATCCCCCTCATCTCCTGTCGTTCTCAGGTCCGAGGGGCTCCTTTTCCTGACGACAGTGGGCAACATGTGGAGCAGCCTGAAGAGCAGATGCCAGACTCTCTTCCACAGCACAGCATCGGCTGAAAGCAGAGTAGAGGTGGAAACAGTCCAGTGTGTGGTGGATCTGGGTGAGGCAAGCAACGCGGTCGAGGCCTGGGGCCCTGCCACCGCCAGCCCGTCATGGAGCCTCATGCCAGTGCCGGTGGTCACCACAGGACGCCGCCATCACAACTGCGTGTCGGACATCCCTCAGATCGTAGAGATCTCCATCGATAAAGAGTCGGAGGATGTCAGAGGAACATCTGGCGGTGTCCCGATGGCGCGCAGAGACTCTTACTCCCGACACGCTCCTTGGGGGGGCAAGAAGAAGCACTCGTGCTCAACAAAAACCCAGAGCTCTCTTGAGGCAGACCGGCGTTCCGGGCGGCTGAGAGGCTGTGGGAACCGCCGTGACCGACGTTACGGAATCAGCTCCATCCAGGAGATCAGCGACTCTGGATCTGGAGGGCGGAGCCTGAACGCTCGCTCGCTGCGCCAGCGCCTGAGCGACACGGTCGGGCTGTGCTTGCCCCTACCTGCTCGGCGGCGCTCGCACCCTAAGAATCCCATCAACTCCAAACGGAAAATCCACCTGACCGAGCTCATGCTGGAGACCTGCCCCTTCCCGCCGGGCTCCGACCTCGCACACAAATGGCACTTGATCAAGCAGCACACGGCGCCGGTCAGCCCTCATTCCTCCACCGCATTGCTGGACGCCTTCGACCCGGCCCACCCGTCGCCGGAGGACGAAGAAGAGCGCCTGCGCGAGCGCCGCAGGCTCAGTATCGAGGAAGGCGTCGACCCACCTCCCAATGCACAGATTCACACTCTGGAGGCCTCAGTGCCGGGCCCCTCTCTCTACAAACTTGGACCAAAGATGGCTCCCGGCATCGGCGAGGTCTCTGGGGAAGCACGCAACGGCGGAGCGTCCGGCTCAGCAGGGGCTGCATCGTCGGGGGCGTGCGGGTCAATATTGGGATCTACGGCCGCATCCCAAGACTGCGACTCTGAGGAGGACTCTACCACCTTATGTCTTCAAGCCCGCAGGCCAAAGCAGCGGCACGCCTCCGGAGACGGCCACCAGAGCCGGCAGCAGCCCGGGCCCTGGAAGGTCCACACCCAGATAGACTACATCCACTGCCTGGTGCCGGACCTGCTGCAGATCACCGCCCTGCCCTGCTACTGGGGTGTGATGGACCGCTACGAGGCTGAGGCACTGCTGGACGGCCGGCCGGAGGGGACCTTCCTGCTGCGTGACTCGGCCCAGGAGGACTACCTTTTCTCCGTCAGCTTCCGCCGCTACAACCGATCGCTGCACGCCCGCATCGAGCAGTGGAACCACAACTTCAGCTTCGACGCCCACGACCCGTGCGTCTTCCACTCTTCCACCGTCACCGGACTTCTGGAGCACTACAAGGACCCCAGCGCCTGCATGTTCTTCGAGCCGCTGCTTACGGTGCCTCTCAACCGGACCTTCCCCTTCACCCTGCAGCACCTGGCCCGCGCCGCCATCTGCCGATGGACCACTTATGACGGGATTGGCTCCTTGCCTTTGCCTCCCGCCCTGCAGGACTTCCTCAAGGAGTATCACTATAAACAGAAAGTACGAGTCCGCTGGCTTGAGAGGGAGCCGCCACTCAAGGTGAAATAAGACGGGCGATTACAGAACTTCTTCGCCTATTGAGAGGCCATATTAACTTGGCTTCCTATCTATTGGAGAATAGAATCAAGTATAACAAGCTAAAGTTCATTCTAATCTGTTTTTGGTATTAACTTACATCACTGAGAATACATGATTATATTCAGTGTAACGCTGTCTGTCAAGCACGTTTTTAAGCTGAACAGGTTCCTATTTTTGTGCTGAACGACTGTGCTAAACCCTCACCACGACCACCGACCCACTCGTACACCTGCCTGCATGTCCCCCCCCCCTCTCTCTTCATACCAAAATAACTATTTCAAGCTGTACAGTTCACTTTGTGCGTCCCTATTTACCTTCAGAAACACTTCGTAGAGCACCATACTAGAGTGGAGAGGGCATCTGCAGGCGCCTCCTGTTATTTACGATGCATTCGTTGCCTCCTGTTTGCATGCATGAGATCAGCTAAGCCACTTTAAAGGTGACTTATTATGCTTCTTTCAACAGGTTAGGATAGATCTATGGTCTATCTATAGAAAAAATTTGCATTCTTTCTCCCCCTCCCACACAAAATAATTTTTGGATAATGAGACGTTGGCATGTTCAGTTCTGCTTAGATGAGCTGATTTGGGGCGTCTTGTCGCTTTAAATCTAAATAAGCTGCTGTCTACCGTCCCTTTGCTTGGGTTGCCAGGTAGTAGCACAGTGTTTGTGGAATATGACTGAACAATCTGGAGGTTTTTGACATGGCTCATTTTCCAGACACCAGAAAACATCTGTTTTTTTTTTGTTTTGTTTTGTTTTTTTAAGCGTTGGGATGTTTTCAGAAGCAGCTGAGACCCAAATGGAAAAACTTGCAAAATTTGAATTTTGCATAATAGGTCCCCTTTAAAATCCAAGCATAGGGATTCAGATCAGTAAGCTGATATATTCCAGAGCTTCTCTTCATTATGACAGTCATATCTTCACTATACATGTTCGTCCAACTTTCAGGAACTCTGCTGTCGTCAGCTCTGCAGTGTTGCTTGTCTTGAATGCGTAGCCGTCGTTCCCGCTTTCTCGACCCAAAAATCTCGACCACTCATTGCCAAGTTAACACAACCCCAGGCGGCCATGATATTAGGAACGCTTTCGTCAGTCCCACCGTCATTCAAAGAGAAAATCCCACCTTTGACCCCAAGCAGTCAAAGGTTGTCGCCCTGAGGTTGTCGTGTGGCTCTGGGAAGTTAACCGCTGTAGCTTTGGGTTGTAACATCATTCATTTCACGCGTTCTTGTCCATTTCTGCGAAAGGCTTTAACGTTGTGGCTAACCGGCGTCTCGTCATGAACACACCTTCAACTTTTTCCTCATTTTGCCTCCTAACTACCACAAACCTCAGTATTCTTTTAGGATTTTGTTTGACAGGCAAGCAGAAAGCAGCTCAGAGTCATTGGATTGTTTTTTTGTTGTCTTTTTAAACAATACAAATCTGAAAAGTGTGGCATGTATTTGCCCCTCTCAGTGAATACTTTATTACATCTAATGGTACGTTAACCAACTTTACAGGCTGAATTGTTTCCCCGTTCTTCATGCAAATCAGATGAAGAACGTTTAACTTAACAGCGTTTAACTTGTGCCTCGGCTTCTCGTTAAGTTTTAGCTCTGGACTTTGACTAGACCAGAGGTCGGCAACCTGCGATTTCAAAGCTGCGAGTGGCTCTTTGGACCTTCCACAATAGCTCTTTATAACTTTGGTAAAAAATTATATAAATTTACATGTAATAAGAAATGCTGGTTTTAATTAAGTATTTTCTGCAATGTCTGCATTGAATTTGTACAAGTAATGATTTTATCTTTTGGAAATTATGTGAACTTATTTCTTATCACTTTCCACCGCTCACAAAAAATACATATATTTTTGCTAAATTTTATGTTTATCTTTACTTTAAATCAGAAAAATATGGACAGTAGATATTATCGAAAATTATAACTTGTCTTTTGGAAAACGTCTTGAAACAAGTTTTCAATTCCAAAATAATTTACATGGCTGACTGTATTCAATGAGGACTTATATTGTAGTATGATAAAAACTGATTTGAGAGAAAGGTGCAACACAACTTATCTGACTGTTATGGAAGAACTGGTCTTTATTTAGGGGTATCGGAATAAAAATACCCGCCACACTTTTCAGACTTCTATTTGGAAAACATCCCTTCTCTCCACCTTTTTAGTGCTCTAGTACATTCGTCTTTACATGCAAAATGTTGGAAAACATACTTTTGCAAATCAAAGTATAGCTCTGAGTCCAAACTGTTTTCACACCTAAAGGTTTTCTTTCTGCTTTTTTAGCATATCCTCAAACATTTCAGGTGTGACTTGGCCTGAAAGCGCTGCTGGCTGCCCTGTCACTTCTGTAAATAAGTTTTACCTTTGTGCCTTTCAGTAGTCATCGGTCTCATTGCTTGATAGTCTAAACCTGGAGCAATAGGTGCTTTAACTTGGTCCGTTCACATGAGACCGGACGAATAACCGTGAAGAGGTGCACGAGCTTTAAGCTCACTAACTTTCTTGCACATTAAAGATTGCAGTTTAGTGGTGCTACGTCTGATTAGGAGTTGATCGTTAAATTAGGTTAGTTTGTTACTGTTGCCACTCACTAATGCATGCGTTAGTCTTTTGTCACATAGTGTTAGGTTGTTAGTGGGTCAGTAGGTTGCTGTCCTGCTGTAGGCATCGCGGTCCAACAGGTGCTGGTCTGCAGCTTGAATAACAAACACAGTTTATCCTCTACTGCGAGCAAGTTTTAACCGAATAATGTAAAACCCAACAAGTATTAAAGAACATACAGCAGCAGGAAAGTTTGAATTCTCTGTGTTTTCCCAGTAAAAAACTGAGCTGCATGAGGAAACGGTGCTGGTTCCCCTAACTGTTCAAGAAAATGCAAAAGTGAAACTTCCTGGGACGTGTGAACATGCAATCTGTTTAAAACAAGCAGATTTTAGTCAACATCACATGTGCGTTTTACTATTTTCCTTATGTTTAAAGTAAATGTCTGTGACCAAACTTTAGTGTAACCCAAGTTGTTTTTTTTATTATAGATTCAGATCAAATGTTTGTCTGGATCCCAATCAGTCGGCTGAAATAAATGGAAATGAGAAAGTTATATAGAATTAAATTATTCATCAGATTTGTAACATTTTATGATGTTTTTAATTAAAGGTAAAGTAACATGTCATGTAAAGACTGGACCGGACAAAACCAGTTTTCAGCTGCAGGACTTTTTCGTTTCCTCAGACACATATGTGAACCTCACGCTGCAAGTTCACACTTCCTCCTGTTCAAAGTTTTAATGTCTGACACTTTGCTCCCGAGATCCGTTTATGAAATCATGAGAATAAAGTTGTAATTTTACACGAATAAAGTTGAACAAGAATAATGGTTTACAATAATCAAGTTACACTATTGCAAGAGTAAAATTGTAATGTTACAAGAATAAAATGTACAAAAATGAAGTATGAGAATAAAGACTTACAATAGATGTAATTTTATAATAATAATAGCGGTAATACAAAAATCATCTTACAAGAATAAAGTTGCGATACATAAATAGTGGGAATTTTACAAGAATAAGGTTGGAATATTACAATAGTTGTAATAATAATACTTTGGGAACTTCTACAACAAAACGTTAAAATGAGGAATGCTGATCATTTTGTGATGTTGCACTTTGGTATCAGTTTTTTCTTAATCTTTTAAAACATCAGCTTCAGATTGTCAGTGGCCATAATAACAAAAAAAACACACATGGACTTTAACAATCAAAGCTTTATTCTCATAAAACAACTTTTTTTCTTGTAATCTTACGACATTCTTCTGATATTGCAACTTATTTTTATAAGTATAAAAAATCTTCGTTGTAGTTCAACAGGGAGGCAGGTGTGACTGCGGTGTCGAAGTGTGAGGCCGTTTTGTCCTGCAGGTTTTTGCATCCTGTTGGTACTTTGGTGTGTTCTTAAAATTGTTTCACCTAAATTTGTTTATTTATAAAAAAAAATAATAAAGAAAAAATGCAGTCAAGTCCTGAAACTCGGTCAAATTCAGTCAAAAAGCAACAAAGTGTGTGTAGTATCGTATAGATCTATGGGGCCGTGGAGAAGGCGAGAGATTCCTTCGAGTAAAAAGCACTTTAATCATGTGTCTGAAAGTGTTCAGTCAGCCACGCTTGTCGTTTGTTTGCCCTAATCCCCAGAATATTGGACTTGGACTAATCTGGAAAAGGAAGAAAAATGATAATTTTACTATCATTTCTCAGTTTACGGATCCAATATCCTGCAGAGAGCAAACAAAGCGGCGGAAATGTTGTGCTGACCAGATCTGTGAGCTGAAACCTACAAGTGTTAGCATTGCAAAAACACAATCTTACCAAGTATTTATCTCATTTCTGGTGCAAACTCTTGAATTAAGACTAAACTAACTTGAGAGTAACTTATCAGCAAACTTGTTTTAAGTCACACAAATCAAACTCATGGCTCGTGGGCCAAATCTGGCCCACCGAAGCTTTTTCTGTGGCCCTCTGGATCCTAGACTAAACACTAAGTGTGCTTAAATATGTTATCTATCAAATCAATTCAGTTTTTATCTGTCTATTGCCAAATTTTATCAATCTGTCCCTCCACTTTCCTGAGAATTATCATGGAAATTTATGCAAAATCAACAAATCCCTGCATTTTAATTGGGAGTTTATTGCTGATTTTTCTCAAAAATGGTCAAAAACTTTATTTATACTAAGCAGCTGCCTCAGCCTTAATTGATGTCAGACAATAATCCTTGATCAATATAGAGAGTAATAAAAAGTTGCATTTACTGTCAGAAATATCGCAAATATTTCCAAATTAGTACCACAAACACTTTGATTTTTATTGCAAAAAATCACATAAAGAATCATAAAATCCTGGAGAGACTGAAAATATGATCAGTAATATTTAATTTACAGAATTCAGATATTTTAACAATGTGTGAACAGGTTTTATCAATACATTCTGGCCTTTAAGAGTTTAACGCCCGTTTTAAGTAAATATTTTCTTAATATTGATGAAAAACAGCGAGCTCCATTGGCAGATTATTTCACTTAAAACATGGAGGAATTGTCTGAAGTACATTTATCTGCCAAAGTACTAAAGGAACTAGAACTTTTTCATGAATATTAATGAAGTATTTTCTTTAAACAAGCTCCTATATCGTGTTGAAAAGTTGCTTGTAAGTTAGTTTTGTTTTGTTTCAAGTCTAGAAAGATATTTGCATTAGAAACGAGACTCAACAGAGTTGGTTCGGTTTGGTGTTTTTGCAGTGAGGATAAAACAGGCAGGGGGTCCAGAAATATTTCAGAGTGTGTGTGAACGGAGCCAGCGAAGTGAGGGGTGACCTCCGTGACCCCTATGAACCTCTCTGCTCCCCGTCGTTTCCCCCTCAGGTCCAGTTTTCCCCATGGGAAATGTCCGACATTAAGCGTAGCACACGTTGGCCGTTTAGCCTGTAGATTTAGCAGAAAGTTTTTCAGAAAAGGAGTTTATCCTCACCTGCTTGTCTTCTTACACACAACCCGGTCGTATAAAACACATTAAACCAGCAACACAAACAAAATAAAAGGTTCTTCTGTATGTTTTTTTGTTTTATTTTGCTGTTATGACACAAGTTTGTTGCACTATTTGAGCTCGAAAGCGACAGCAATACCCCCACTGGCCGCAAAACAACAGTACATCTTCTGTTTTTTGTTACTTATCTTCCCACAAAGATATATTGTAAAAATAAATAAAAACAGCTTGGTTATATGCAAACAGAAAAAGAAGAAATGTATGAAAGTTATTTTCCTTCTCCCTGATATGCAATGGAGTGTAGTTTAACAATGGTTGCAATCCTCTGTCACTTTAATGCTGCGTATGCACAGTAGCTGCAGTGTGGATGCAGGACCTGACGATGATGGGAGCTAATGGTCGTCGCTCGTTCATTCGAACCCGGGGGCCGCCGCCGCAGGCTGACGAAAACCGCCGCTCTCGTTTTCTTATGGGTTATTTTCTCCCTTCACTGTTTGTTTTCTTTCTTTTCTTCTTCTGCTGTGTGATAGGATGTGGAGCGTGTAAATGGCATTATTAGTTTCACATTTCAGTGTCCGTTCTGTGTTTAACCATTCAAGACAAGTTAAGAAAGAATTAAAAAAAAAAAACCCGTCGTTTAATCTGCTCATTTTTAATAAGAGCCGTACGAAGCGACACTTGTAGCTGTCACTCTTGGTGCTTGGCTTATGCTTCATTGTCTTAATATTCCAAATAAAACTGTTAAGTGTAATCCACACTGGCCCAAGAGATACAAATCTCTGTGTGTTTTTGTGTCATTATGCCTTTATTGTTGATTAACAAGTGAGTTAAACGAAGCTTCTGGTGTTTGTAACATTAATATAACAAGGGTGGAATGAATAATTATGATTAATCGATTATTAAACTAATTGCCAACTAATTTAGTAATCGATTAATCAAGACTCAAAAGAACATTTACTGAAAGATGTGTGTGTTTTGATGTATTTCTAATATTAAGTGGTTAAAAGAAACATCTGCAGAACATGCCACTTTTTAAAATCTATTTAATCGTCAAAATTTAGCTGAAACTAAAATAATCATTAGTTTCAGCTCTAATTATAATTTAACTATGAATTTTTACATCTGTCTGGTAAGAATCTGCTGCGTAGTTTGGTTATATAATGTTATTCCCTCATGCTGATTTGATTCTTTCATGCATGCTTAAGAAATCCTTTAATCTCCATGGCAACCATTGACCTGTGCAAAACGCCTGGGTGGACTTAGCCCCGCCTTCTAGACGCAGCCCCTCCCCCACGCAGCAGCAATTACCAAACATCTGGTGGAACTGGACGCACAAGCTTCTTCACAGTGCATCGCTTTTAAAAACGTGGCTGAAAAGCTTCATAGAGGAGCCATGTCGTAATGACTTCCTGTAGGCAGGGTTTCAGAAAGAGCAGAAGCTTCTTAAAGAGACAGAGGCCCAATTTCAAGTAGTTACATTGTCATATTTGATATATGGGGTATTTTTATAACGTCTGAAGGCTTGATAGTACTATGAAATGGCTCTAAGTGCCTGGAAAACACATTTTTTCCCTTTAAAAAAACTTTTGAAAAATGGTGGATTTCTGAAAACCTCTTGGTTCTCCAGTATGGACTCATCATCTCTGATGGTTTCACCCGTCCTGACCTCTCATCCCCCAAACTGTACCCAGCAGCAGCTATGCAGACAGACGCGGCCGAGCCGCCTGGAACTTAACTATTTGTTTATTCGAAATGAAGTATAAATAGCATGGAGGTTGTTGGTTTCGAGTTTGCTACCAGGGCTTCTGAATAATTAACACTCGCCCCTGGAAGGAGAGAGGGAGAAAACGGCTAAACTCGAGCGCCGCTCAATAACCTCAGTGCTTCCTCCCAGTTCAAACCTCGGGCACGGCTAAAATAGAAACCAGTCTGCAGAGCTGGATGTGGGTCACCCATGAGGAGAAGAATCAAAGTTCGTTTATCAGCAGGTCGATGCTTTCAGATTTCGTCTCTCTGCTCTAACTAACGTTTAATCTGCTCTGGTGTTGATAGTGGCAACATGACGACTAAAACCAATGTCGTTCAAAAATATACATTTGGACGACATAAGATCCGCCACAGAGGAAGGTTTCTAGCCGATTTAGCTAAGATGTATGGAAGAGGGTTCGGGCCACCAGAAAACAAGAAAACGCATACATGTTATTTAAGTAAAATCCAATAGTATGGATAAAATGTTGTCAGTATTTGCAATATATCCTTTAGTGGCATACATTTTGTAAATTTGAGCTTTTCAAAAGTCTAAATTATTTTGACTTGGCTTGAAATGCAATTTTACCAATTTTGTTCTAGAAAATTTCTGAGATTAATTCTCAAACTTTCAGATTTTTTGGTGTAAATCCTTTTTTTCCTATCTACAATGGCCCCAATATGCTGTCGTATGAGTCTGAGTTAAAAGTTGCCGCTGCTGCTTTGTTGGGAAGCTTTTCCTCCGACTCACAGTGAAACCTCTGGGCAACTGATGATGTCTCAAGCAATAAAACAAAAAAGACAATGGAAACCAGTTCAGAAACGACTTCAAATGTTTCAGCTTGTTCAGATATTCAGTCTGTCTTAGCAGGTCTGGTCATAAGATGAGTTTAGCTTTTGGTTAAGTAGCTATGAAACCTGGTTTTCGTTGCCTTTTCATGGGATCATCTGGACTGATTTCCTGGTCCAGTTGTAAACCGCTCAGGCTTTTCATTTCCTTCATGTCTGTCGCCCACACAAGCTGCTAAGCCCAAACTGAGATACACTCCACATGGCTGTTGACGAGCTACCTGCACCAAGCTGCAGCAACGCCAGGCAGAAGAAGAGGCCCAGAGAGGCAGCGAGATAGCTGCTTGGGGTACGGCAGGCTGTTTGTGTTTTTATTCAACAACCTCTACTAGCTAGTTGCTAGTTTGCTGAAACCAATCCTAGTAGTTTACAAGTGGAAATAAAAAACAAACGCAGTTAGTCAAAGACATTCAACCTGAAAACATCTGAAGAAATATTACACAATATTATCAATTATTGTTTTTCTCGTTTCTAGTGCAAATATCTTGGTACACTTTAAATAAAATAAAACTAACTTATACGTAACTTTTGAGCAACTTGTTTTATGTGCATAATTCCTTTTTATTGATGAAAAAGTTACAGATTATTTCACTTATAAACTGGGAAAAATGTCTTGTAATTTACCTAATCCCAGTAACCACCACAAGCTTTACAGCTACAAAATGGTTTTGCACATTAGTTGTTTAACCAAACTGGGATATAATCCATCAAAATGTTTGCAAGCCAGTTTTGCAACTCTTTAAAATTAACTTTTTTGTGCTTTCCGTCATGCTATTATGTCATACCCTCATCAAAAACATAAATGGAGTGTTGCCTTGATTATTTCATGCATGTTTAAGAAATTATTTAATCTCCATGGCAGCAATCAGCTGCAGCTCCTCTTTGGAGCTGCAGTTTCAAAGCTCCAGAGCTTCCGCCTCATGGAGGAGCCCTCAGCTCCTTCAGACTAGCCAGCAGCAATTAGCAAACACCTGGTGGACCTGCACATCTTATAATACAAGCAACTTTGGTAAAAATGTTGTTAAAGGGTTAATAGCAGAGCCATGATGACAAAGTTTCAGAGAGAGCAGAAGCTTCTTAAAGAGACAGGCACAAATATAAACTTAATTTATATTTGCTCTATACAGCAACTGAAGGTCACACAGTTACTTGATTGTGCTGTAAAATGCCACTGTGGGCCCAGAAAGTACATCGTACCTCCCCTTTAAACGTGAGTATTAGTGGATTGTTCTCAAAATGTTTACTATTTGAAAAAAAAGAAGTAAAGAATCAGAACTTAAACATGTAATCAAGTTACTCTGTGCAGAGCATGGTCACAAACAGTTTGACATGCTGTCAATTAAATGCACAAATGGGTTGCCATATAGAGTGACACCGGTGCTGCTGCTTCTTTCCTGGGTCTGGAGCACGGCCAGGTCTGTGGTAGCAAAATAAGCCGTGCCCTCCAGTTAACCTTCCACTGAGACGCACGCACAGTCTCACACGAGGCCTGCATCCATATTTCATAGGCGAAACATATCTGCCCAGCGGTATTTTACACCCACTGTTGGGCTCACCTTCCAGGGGCCGACCTGGCACGAGGAGCACCGGTCCCGCAGCCTGCTCCAGCAGCTTTCAACTGGAAGCCAAGCTGCCTCCCAATCATCCAGAAGATGCAGCAGCTCCAGCTCTGTTTCTGCCTTCCATTTATTGAATAGTTTTACTGAACAACCGACTTTGTTCTGCGTGTGGCAGAACGGAAACTTTTACTGCCGAGCCTTGGAGAGCAGGTTGTATTCATCAGTAGTTTTAGCTGCTGACCTTTTCCCTCCGTACATTCCCAGACCTCCTGGATAGTTGCTCAACATCTGGAGGCCAAATGATGTCCAGGTTTAATCTGATTAAAACCAAACAGCAGTTTCTCTCCAACTCCCCTCCTCTTTGGAGACCCCGACTCCGAAGAACTTGGCCCACATGTGAACGGTCTGTTTTCTTTTTCCTTTTTGGGGTTCTTTGGCAGAGCCGGTGGAAAATTTCAGAGGGCATGACTTGTTAATTCCTCTGTCTTTTCCTGCTCTCTTTCTTTCTCCCCCCAGCTCCCGTCTCACTGGTAAGGTACAGCAGCTCTGAGCAGATCCAGTTCAGCACCACAAAGTGTTTTTGCTTAGTTTCTACTGCAAAAATATTAGTGCACTTGAAATAAGACAAAGCTAACTTGCTAATAACTTTTCAGCAAGATATAGGAGAGCTTGTTTTAAGTCCAAATTCTCCTTAATATTGATAAAAAAGTACTTTTAAGAAAAAAATCTGCCAGAGGAACTAGTACTTTTTCATCAATATTAAGGAATATTGTACTTACAGGAAGGAGACCTATAATGCAGAATTTGCATTCAGCCTGTTTTTATACTGCTTTTTAAAATGTATTCAGCTGGTTTTGGGCAATAAATTAAGGCTTAAGGTGTCTAAAAAAAATTTGTTTTTAGAAATCCCCAGAATCCCCAGTGAAGCCTGGCCCGTTACCTAGCAACCCCGCAGAGCTCCGTCACCTAGCAACCCCGCAGAGCTCCGTCACCTAGCAACCCCGCAGAGCTCCGTCACCTAGCAACCCCAGTGGAGCTCCATGTTGTGTGGTCAGCTGGTTTTATCACTGTATGTTCCGTACAATGGCTGCTGGAAATAAACTAAATAGAAAATGAATGAAATGAAGTAAAAATAAATAAATGAATAGATGAAAAATATGTGAATCTAAATCTTTAATTGAGTCCAGGGGATCTGGACATCCGGTTGTTCTGTACAATGGCTGCTGGAAAAGACAACTGTTTTGTTGATGACTTCTTGCTGCATTCTTATTGGTTATGCAGGAGGCTGCACTTCTGCTTTTCAAAGACGTACGGCTGTATTACTGCACATCTGTTTGCAGCCATTTTCACATGCAAACGTTGAGTCAGGGGGGCGTGGCCAGCAGCAGCTAATTTGGATTTAAAGCTCAAATTAGGCAGAACTGAGCCGACTAAAATCTCATAATCTAAGAATGATTTTGTGCAAAAGATGAAATGAACATGTTTTGCATAGCCCATAGACTTGTGAAACAAGTTCCTATATCTACCTGTAAAGTTATTTGCAGGTTGTTTCTTATTTTAAGTGCACTAAGGTATTTGCACTGGAACCTAGACCAAAAGCACTTGGTTAGATTT